GAGGGACGTGGTCAGTCGGTTCCGAAATCGATGGACTCTGGGGTCACTTCAAGGTGTACCGTCAAGACTATGGTGGCCTCGAGCAGTATCTGATCGTAGGAAAGACACTCAAAGATACTGTGAGGTCATATGCCGAGCTCCTTGGCTTCCCGCTCCTTGTACCTCGCTGGGCTTATGGCTACATCTCTGGAGGTTACAAGTACACCATGCTTGATGACCCACCTGCGCACCAAGGACTCATGGAGTTCGCGGACAAGCTCAAGGAGCACGGCATTCCATGCTCTGCCCACCAGATGAGCTCGGGCTACTCAATTGCAGAGACAGAACCCAAGGTCCGCAATGTCTTCACCTGGAACAAGTATCGGTTCCCCAACCCCGAAGAGTGGATTAAGAAGTACCACGCTCGGGGAATCAGACTCCTTACCAACATCAAGCCTTTTGTCCTTGCGTCGCATCCAGATTATCAGAAGCTTGTCGGTGCAGGAGCACTGTTCAAGAAGCCTGATACTCAGGAACCGGGCACTATGAGACTATGGAGCGCAGGGGGTGCGACCGGTGGTGATGGATGCCACATTGATTTTACCTCCTCGTTTGCTTTCCGATGGTGGTATGAAGGTGTCCAGAGCCTGAAGCGAGCCGGAATCGATGGTATGTGGAACGACAACAACGAATATACGCTTCCCGATGATGAATGGCAAATGGCTCTGGATGGATCAGTAGTCGCTGAGGAGGCAAAGAAACAGAGCGACAAATCCGTCGGGCTCTGGGGCCGCGCAATGCATACTGAACTCATGGGCAAGGCATCTCATGACGCCTTAGTCGACATGGAGCCCGAATACAGACCATTTGTTCTCACAAGAAGTGCCACTGCTGGCACTCTTCGGTATGCAGCCAGCTCATGGAGTGGAGACAATGTGACCAGTTGGGAGAGCATGAAAGGCGCAAACGCCTTGTCATTGAACGCCGGTATTTCACTGTTGCAGGTAAGACTTCGCCATAACAGACTGAGCTGGTCGTACATTGCATGCTGACTTCTGATAGTGCTGTGGCCATGATATTGGTGGTTTCGAAGGTATGCCTCCTCCCTTGAGAGCACTGATGAGAGACAAGAATCTGACTGTTTCCTCAACAAGGACCCCAACCCTCTCCCGAACTCCTCCTCCGATGGGTGCAACTAGGTATCCATTCGCCCCGGTTCGCCATCAACTGCTTCAAAACGTCGCCCGGAAACACCTCCGTGGGAGATGTCATTGAGCCCTGGATGTACCCCGAGATCACTCCGCTGGTCCGCGACACCATCAAGCGCCGTTATGAGATCCTCCCCTACATATACTCCCTTGGTCTGGAGAGCCACCTGACCGCTTCTCCACCTCAGCGCTGGATTGGATGGGGCTACGAGTCCGATCCCGAAGTCTGGACTAAGGCTCTCAAGTCTGGAGAAGAACAATTCTGGTTCGGTGAAACTATCCTCGTCGGAGGTGTGTACGAGCCCGGTGTAACCGTCGCGAAGATGTACCTTCCCCGTAAGGCGAATGATGAGTTCGACTTTGGGTATGTCAACATGAACGCGCCCTACACATATTACGCCTCCGGCCAGTGGGTCGAGATACCCTCTCAATGGAGAGAAAGCATCCCGCTTGTTGCGCGTATCGGTGGTGCCATTCCTGTTGGAAAGCCCGTTCAAACCAGAGTGCCTGGGGATGAGACTGAGGCTTCATTGGCTGTAGAGGAACTTGACGACTACAGAGGCGTCGAGATATTCCCTCCCAAGGGCAGCTCTCATGGTCGCGTCTTCGCCTCTACCTGGTTTGAGGATGACGGTATTTCCCTGCAGCCTAAGATATCAACGTACATCATCAGCTACAGCTCGACGGAGGAGAAGGTGACTGTTGGATTCAAACGCGACGAAGAGAGCGGCTTTGTTCCCGCTTGGAAGGATCTGGATATCATCTTGCACAACGGCGACGAGAGACACGTTGTGTCTGATGATGGCAGGCCTGTTGAATACAAGGGGAGAGACTCTCGAGGCCGCGTTGTTTTTACTTTGAAGAATTAGATGCTACAGCGTGATGAGTCACAATGTATCTGAATAGCCGATTCCTTGTAGTTGGTATTAGGGCTATGCACAAAGGAAAAGAAAGAGAGGGCTTGGCGTTGCAGAATAGAAAGATAGAAGAGTTTTAAGAGAATTCAAATTGACCTTCGTGAACATATTTATTCAATTTCGCGGTTGAACACCCGGCTGACACTCCATACCGAACAAGATATGGATCCATATTAATATGGCCGCTTTCTTGAGAGGATATAAAGGAAGATCCCCGGAAAATTGACTCGAATTGAAGCTGTTAATACAGATGATCGCACCAGAAGTGGGAAAACTTTACATAGCTCTATACAATACAATCCCTCAGTTGATCGAAATACTGAACTTTGGGTATGAAATAACAGAACCTCACTAAGAGCCAAAACACATCATTGCTGATTTTCGGCTGTCTCAGTCATGTTCTCTGGAAGCTTGATGCCGAGCTCCTTCAGTGTAGGGAGTCTGTGTGTGATCTTGCCCTTCTTCGCCTCCTCCAGTCTCCGTTTTTGGCCTGCCTCTCCGGCTCTTCCCAAGACACCAGCAATGACAGCCACGGAACGCAAACTGTCGTCATTCGCAGGAATGGGGTAAGTAACTTGAGTTGGGTCGGCATCCGTGTCAATGATGCCGACGGTTGGGACATTGTTCAAGCCACACTCGTGCAGCAAAACAACATTCTCAATGGGATTAAAGCACACCACAAGGTCTGGCTTAATTGCCGGCTGATCCGTCCGAAGATCCTTGAATTCCGGCAATTCTTCGTCAAACGCATTTACCACCTTGGTATCGCAATGGCCTAAGATCTGTTGTCCATTGGTTAAGCTGCCAGGAATCCAGCGTTCAAAAATGTGGTAGCCTTTGGCCAGCTCCGCGGCCCGGACAACTGCCCGTTTTTGACCCTTTCGTGTGCCGACGAAAAGAATCAATCCACCTCGGGCAGCAACCTCTTCCACAACCTTGGCTGCACGCCGCAAGTGCGCTGCAGTTATATCGAGCGAAATAACATGAACACCTTCTCGAATACCAAAAATATAGCGCGAGTTCTGCGGGTTCCAGCGAGAAGTAGAATGGCCGAGGTGTGTTTGAGATGCGAGGAGCAATTCCAGGGTGATATCGGAGGGTCGAGGAGGATTTCGGATCAGATCTTCTGGCTGATATGCGACTGCTACATCACTACCGAGTGCGTGAAATTTTTGTCCTGCAAGGGTATAAAGTCAGAACTCCAGCAGGAGGTGGAGGAAGGTTGTTCGGTCTCGCTCACTTTGCACTTCGCGCTTGCCCCACGCCTCCTTGGCTGACAGTGCTACTGATCCTGTCTCTTTCGCGGCGCCGGCAGGTGAACCCGGCTGCTGCGTTACTTCTTTTGCGGGGGTTTCTACTGCGGTTTCGACAGGAGTTCCTGTTGAGGAGAATCGGCTCAGGATGCGAGTGGGTCGATTCAGAGCAAGTTGGCGGCCTGCAGAAGACTGATTAACAACGGATTTCAAATGATGTTATATCAAAGATTTATCAATTGAACACATACTCTGCCGCACGCATAATTGTCGAACAATCATCTTGAAATATGCTGAATTAGAAGGTTGAGCTGCTCCGTATGCGAAATGCTCAGTTTCTGGCCGATCGAACTTTTGATGTCGGGCTTGGCGGATTTTCGGGCCTGAGGCACATATAAAGGCGCTAGTCTATTTTAGGGCGTTTCCACCCTCCACAGTTCACACCCGCTGAATCACAGCTCACAGGCTCACAGCTAACTATACTGGGTCACTTTTAGTTGGAAGGGGAGTCTGAAAGACAGTATGTGAAGGCTCATACAATCTGTCTGTCATGTCTATTGCATGGCTGACAGTAGATTGTCCCAGCAGACATTGCTATTGACAATAATGTCTTCGGGGACTCTTTTTCCTTCGTTCTAAAGTGAACTGAGTCGTCGGGTGCTTCAAATCAGGACGAGAAGAGGTGAAGAGTCGCTATGATGGTGTCCTTGTCTCGAATTTTACTCAAACAAACAATGAGGACATTTATTTCTCTGCCTACCTAATTTTGGGAAACTGTAAAGCATGTTTGTATTGTCTGCCATCTGCTTCGGAGTGCTCAAAGCCTCAAAGGGTAATTCTCAGAAGCGCTTGGACTGCGGATAAAGGCTTCAATTCACAGCTTGAGATCTTTCAATGGCTCACCATCAAAGGATACACAAGTATACAAAGACTTACAACCTGAGTCACAGGCCAGCACTTCAGTCTCTTCAACACCACAACCACCTGTTGCGCATCTGTGAAGTACCTCAGCACCAGAAAGTGAAAGGTGACCAATGACAACCGTGACACGGTCTGTGAAACAACTATATGCAGGCGATATATGTCCCCTGGCCGAGGCACGGTCCTGAAGCAATCCTCGGCCGGCTATCAAGGCTTAACAAGCCGACCGGTTGTCTCGCGATGAAGCTATGGTCAGGCGGCTCAAGAGACATGTCGACACGGCCGGTACTCCTCTGACATTCAAGTCACCTACATAGACAGCGGAAGATACTCAGACCCGAGCGGATTGTTACCAGCTGAGGTCAAGCTCATTCGGTAGACGAACATCGAGGCCGCTTGATGATTGATGAAACCAAAAGCCACCATGCTTGGGATGCAATGACCAAATCAATCAGCATCGCTCACGTTACTTCGGCACAATATACGGTCTACAAATCAATCATCGTCTTCAATGTGCATATCGAAACAAATTAAATCTAGTCATTGGCCGTCAAGCAAAGTGCCTCATGTGCAACATCGGTATCAAGGACAAACAAGCGAAGCAGTAGCAAGTCATCCTCGTGTAGGTCAAAGTCATCAAATAGGAAAAAAAGAAACTCGGAAACATTGACTCCAAGCTTGCGGTACTCTGTACCGTCTCAGCCGAGGACGATCCAAGAAATCTATTTCTTGAAGAAGCCGCCCAAGTTATCCATCAGACCACCGCCGCTTGAGGAACCATGCCCGCCCTGGTGACTGCCGTACTGGGAGCCACCGTGGCTGCCGTAAGGGGCATCCTCCTTGTTGTGCTTCTTCTTCTTGACGGCGTCTTCCAGGACAGATCCCATGATGGCGCCTCCGATGGTACCCAGAATACCGTGGTCAGCTTTGTGGCCTGCGAAGCCGCCCGCGAGACCGCCCGCGATAGCACCGCCGAGTCCTCGTTCGCCCTCTTGGGCTCCACCGGGAGCGTTCTGGTCATTGTAGCTAGAGAGAGAAAGGTCAGCTGATGTTGCCGGAAGTTTATGTACGTGAGAAGAGAGTGGTGGGGCAGGTGACATACCCAGACTGCCCGTATGACCCCTGGCCCTGGTGTTGTTGACCGTACTGGTCGTGTTGACCGTATTGGCTCTGCTGGTGCTGGCCGTACTGACCCTGGTTGTGATCGCGCTGCTGGTTGTAGTAGTCACTAGAGCCTCCGTATTGACCGTGCTGCTGACCATGCTGTTGGCCATATTCCTGGCCGTATTGCTGGTTAGGGTACGACTGCTGTCCGTAGCCGCCTTGGGAGTATCCTCCCTGCTGGTATTGACCTTGGCCCTGGCCGTAGCCTTGCTGGTTGGAATACTGATCGTATGGACCGGACATGATTGTGTTGATCAATTTGTTGGAGTAATAGAAGGTGGATAAGATGGAACTTTGAGGAGACGATGAGTGATTGACTGAAGGATGATGAAGCAGAGGTAAAGTTCAAGGGCGCCCCTCCTGTCTTTTATATCTACTACCTAGTAATTAACAAGTTGGTACATGTAGGGCTGAGTCGATTGCTGACGGGATCGAACCCCACATTCAGTCACTTAGTTGCGCCCACGGCAATGAGACCACCGCTAGATCGCTATGGGACAATACAATATTCTGTCGGATGCTATCACTGTCCCGTCATCGATGGGGCGCTTCTGACAACTCCCATTGGTATGCAGATACTGCACATTGTGGCTTATCCATTTCATGGCCATACATTTCGAGTTCCTGATCCATATTTCCAAATAAATACCTCCGCCACACCGCGTTACGGTCGGCGAAGTAGCGGGGTGGCTGTGGCCTTCCAGAAGCCCAGGGGCTGAGTTCGACGACAATACGGAAAGTTGTACGATCTATTACGCAGAACATGCCCCGCCAGATCTTCTGGGTTTTACTCGTTTAGGTGAATTTTGATCAGATGCGGATTTTCGATGCTAGATGGCTCCAGGTATTATTAGCGACTGCATTCTTGGCTCTGGATATCGACCAAGAGACTTGAAATTTCGAAATAAAAAAAACTCCCGATTTCTTAATGTAGCTGCCCAAAGCTCAGCAAGCTGAACCGCTGTTTGTTAAGGTACCTATTGGATTACCATAAAAATACAGTATATAGAGCCACCTGTGGCTGGGTCGAGTGGCTGTGCAATGGCAACAGCGTAATGCATCTTCCTATGTTATCATTATCCACTCCGTTAGACAAACGATCATTATCCTGTGCCTGTCATTTCTGGATCCGTAATATTGTTCTTGCAAAGCTATATTTAGGGACTGCAATCTTTTCAATGTATTTATCGTGACATATCCGAGACTGCCGACTTCCGTAAGATAGGTATCTTGGATACGTTACCGTACTGTGGCAGCACCTCCAATCATACAACTGCCTTACCCCTCATGTTGATTCCACTCAGCAGGCAGCCATATTATTCGCATCCCCATTGACTACCTACCTATGGCATTGAGCTAAGTCCTTCGGTGCCGCGGATACAGAGAATAACATCGCGACTCAAAACGTGAAATGCTTCAGATTAAACATAGAGACCAGCTCGTCGGCTCAATGGGCCAAGCTCTTAATCGACACGGTTCGGACATGTCTTCTCTGGGCAAGGCTACAAGGGTGAATTCCAAATCGCACCTGCAAGATTAGAGCCAAACATCTACTCGGTACTTGATGTCTAATGCTTAGATACTGCTGTTGTCCGTATCCAAGTTCAAGCTGACTCGAGGAAAGGCGTCTTGCTTGGGACTGGCTTATTATATATGTCCTTGAACCCACTAGATAAGCCACAACTAAAACGTACCTAGTGCCTACCACCATTCAATACTATAAGTCTCAATGTCTACTTGACCAAGAGACTCTCCTTCCACTGATCTACAATCAGCTCGCTCCACTGTTCATGCAGCGTGTGATATCGGGATGAAAAATGTCGCAAGAGTCATGTCAACGCTTATCGGATGCGGATGATCACTCTCGGAAAAAGTAAACATGTGTCAGCAAGCAACCCATCTTTGCGGGAAAAGACGCTGGTCTACTTCATGATCATTACTTTCCTACCGAGGACAATCACATAATGGCCGAGTCACACAAAGACTGAGTCACACAGACTTCTGTAACCAACTAACGGCTGGAAAAGGCACCTGATCTACCTCTCACAGAAACTTGCTCAATCCAATCGAAATGAAAGGCCCATTTTTGATGAGCCTAAAAACATTAGCATGAGACATTGCGTAGATAGGTCATGCGAACTGTGATCTACGTGAGCGATTTTGATCTACATGAGCGACATTGCAATGGTACGCGACCCACTACTTGATCTTGCTTTAACTAGTGAAGTGGCAGGCATCTTGCATACGGTCAAGCATGCTGTCATGAGAGATTGTGATGGAGCACCTATAAGACGTTGTCTACACTTACATGTCCATCTAATCAGCGCATCTTCATAGGGAACTTTTTCCCGGAGAGGATATTGGGCAGAATGTATCACGTTTCTTTCTTCATCTTGCTACTTGCATCCCTCCTGATTACCTCAACAGCGGCAGAGCAACCAACAGTCTATATCATTCGTCATGGCGAGAAATCCGGCCACCCGGAGGACTCCGGCTTGAATGCCGACGGCTTCAGGCGAGCCCAATGCCTCCGAGACGTGTTCGGTGTCAACTCAACATATGACATCGGCTATATCGTTGCCCCGAGGCCAAACAGACGTATGCCATAGTCTCTACTGGCGTTACCTAACGGCTTAGCCAGATAATGTTGATCTAACCACTTACCCTCGCTTAGACGGTGAACACAGACGCTCATTCGAGACCGTCCTCCCCCTCGCTATCGACTTGGGTCTTGCAGTTGATCTCTCGTGCAGACGGAACCAAGTCAGATGCGTAGCAAAACTCGTGAGGAACTTCCAGGGGCCGGGGAATATTCTGATTTCCTGGCGGCATGGGAGAATGAAAGAAATCGTGGTGGAACTGGGCTCTGATCATGTCCCGGAATATCCAGAGGACCGGTGAGTCGTGCTGGACTATTCCGTGCCTGAATCCTTGCTAATCCCGACCAGCTTCGATTTGATCTGGACTGTTCCTTTTCCATATGACAATATCACGGATGTCAGGAGCGAAGGATGCCCTGGTCTTGATACTCAGTCATTACTTAAGGTGCAAGGTTGACGAGTGTGGAATCCACTTGGTTAGAGCAGCAATACGGTGTCAGGTTTCGTCTCGGTAGAATTTTTATTTTTATTGGCGTTTTTGTTCAAGGCTCAATAGATATAGATGTAGCGAAGGAGTAAGTGGCATTTCTATATTCATACGCCATCCTCTTGGTAACATGTGGTTAGATGGGCAAGAGGCTTATGTGCAGGGCATAGATGATACCAACTATCGCAAGCACCCTTCTGAGAAACTGTTCTTTGCCTCATACATTTATATGTTTTACTTTCCTGTCACTCATTCAGTTTGAGTAAATCATTCCATTCAGCCGTAGAGCGATAAAGGAGCAGCTATAGACTGACCACACTAACACTAGATAGCATCTCCCATCACTCAGAACAATAGCTTCTGGTCTTTTTCATATACGTAGTGTCCACCCCTTGAAAAGTCCCATGTCAACACTGTCCTTAAGTTATGGATAATCCTCATACATCCAATGTGGATAGTGAATCTACTGTGCGGGCGGTGAACCAATCATTCCAATCAGTCCAGCCGAGCGGAGAAAACTGAATGCCAAGATTTCAACACCCACCTAAATTTTTCGAGGTATCGCAGCTTTCGCTAACGACTTTGACCGACCGATTCTGGACAACCAGCAAGACAAGCCAACGTCCGGATATTGCAACGAGATCGCTTGTTTCTATAGGTGGATAGTCTGCGGTCTGGTTATCGAAGTCAGGATGGATGATATCGAGGTATGTGGTTCCTGAAGCTTCGTAAGCCCCGCGCTCACGACGCTTGGGAAACTGACAACCTTTTTTATCAGGAACGGTTGCGAAGCCATGCTGAGGCCTTCGACGGCCTTCTGTCTTTGATTCCTGCGAAGTACTATTATGGTGAAGATGGCAGCGTACGTGATGATCATCATTAATCCCCTGCTCTCCACCCAGAGAAAAAAAATTCTTGCTTCTTTCTGTCCGTTTTGGCTTGAATACTCCCCGGCCGTGGTTGACCATAATTCATTCTATAGGACCAATGGAAGCGAAAGAAGCAGACAAAGGAGCAAGCCCGCGAAGCCAAACGTGCGAAATTGGACCCCGATTCTGCCAAAACGGCCAAGGACGTAATGGACGAGAATGCACGGAAGCGTAAGCGGGACGAGGAGGAGCAGGATGGGTCCCAGTCATCCGAGGAAGAAGAGCTGGGCTCTGAACTTCCCAAGGAAGGCCTGAAGAGAGGCGATGCCAAATCGAAAAAGCAGAAGCAAGCCGCTACAGAGCAATCCGATGATACGGCGGCCAAATTGGAGGAAGCCGAAGCGCGCAAGAAGTTAAGAGAGGAGAAGAAAGCACAGAAGAAAGCCGCTCAGAAAGAGAAGAAGAAGGCCAAGGAAGCTGCCAAGAAAGAGAAACAAGTTGAAAAATCCGAGTCGAAGCCTGCGAGCGATAAGCCAGAAGAGAAGCAGCCTTCCACGGTAGAAGACAGCGATGATGAGATTGAGCAAGAAGGTGCTGTCCCTGAGGAAGGCCTCTCACTCGAATTCAACCCTGAGCCCGCAGAACAGTCATCCTCTCCATCCTCAGCACCCAACTCTCCCGGATTTGATGCCTCAAATGACCACTCCGGCAGCTCTTCCATATCTTCCATCGTCCCTCCTTCTGCTCACACAGACGCCAATGACGCCTCCCAAAAATCATCCTCTGAACCCAAGCCTCTCAAGCCGACCCCTGAAGAGTTGAAACAGCGCTTACAGAAGCGCTTGGACGAGCTGCGCGCCGCCCGGCAGGCCGACGGATTCAACGGCAAGCCCGCCCGAAACCGCCAGGAGCTGATCGAGGCTCGCCGCCAAAAAGCCGAGCAGCGCAAGGCACACAAGAAACTACTGCGACAGAAGGCCAGGGAAGAAGAGCAGCGCGCCAAAGACGAGGCCATGGCCAAGCGCTTCTCCCCCGGTGGCTCTGGCTCGCTTCTTGCGTCGCCGCGGTCCCCTGCAGACTCGATCGGCTCCAACGTCAACTACTCATTCGGTCGGGTGGTGTTCGCCGACGGCCAGCTGGCCGACCCCAGTCTGATGAGCGTTCGGGAACAGCCAAAGCGCCATGGGCCGCAGGACCCCGCTACGGCACTCAAGGCGGCTGAAGCAAAGAAGGCCCGTCTGGCCGAGATGGACGAGGAGAAGCGTGCGGATATCGAACAGAAGGACATGTGGCTGAATGCCAAGAAGCGGGCGCACGGAGAACGCGTCCGTGATGACACCTCGCTTCTCAAGAAGGCACTGAAGCGCAGGGAATCCGCGAAGAAGAAGTCCGAGCGGGAATGGAAGGAGCGTCTTGAGGCCGTCAAGAAGGGCAAGGACGCGCGTCAGCAGAAGCGCGAGGAGAACCTCCGCAAACGACGCGAGGAGAAGGGAAACAAGGGCAAGAAACCTGCCGCAGGCAAGAAGAAGGCCAGACCTGGGTTTGAGGGAAGCTTCAAAGCCAAGGTGGGTGGGAAGAAATGAAGAAAAAACATCCACGGTGATGGCCCCAGTGCTGTGTGTATCTATGACAGACAACCCTGTCAAAAAGTAAGGGAAGGAAACTGAGTGTGGGACCTGGAGAACTGGTGTTTGGGGTCTTTTGGGAAATGCTCTCTTTTCATGTTGTGCATGTATGCATAGGCAGCGATTTGTTCGTGCAAATATCAGGGCTTTTTTGACTTTTCGTTTATTGTCCTACACTGGTGGAGCATATATATTTAATGCTTTCAGATGACTACTGCTATTGAGGACGACTAGAAGACCCCATGCAGCGCAGGCTGGACAGATACCATGTTGATACAAATGAAAAGTGAATTGTTTGATTGACTCGTTAGCAGAACAGTAGAAAAATAACAAAGGAAAACCAGGATTTCCTCTGACATCGCAACAAAGACAAAACAGGAACGCCACATTCTGGCGACTCGAAAACTCCTTTAAGCCTGAACAGTATATGCGGGATAACGCAGGCGGAGGATTCGTTATGTACAAGGCGGAGAGGCAAAGCTAGACTTCCATAAAGGAGTCAATACCTTTGCCATCTTGATGGATGGAAAACTCTTTTTTTTTTCCCGTCACTTTAATTTTGCGAATTCCGATCTCTCGGCAAGGATCGCTAGAGTACAACAGCAAGCGTAGAAAGATCCTCATGAATAAAAAGAGAAATCGACAGCGCCCTACCGGTAAGGGGCATCGGCTCTAGCGGCTGCGGCAATCTCTGGCTCCCACTTGTCACCGTTGGCCAGAAGCTTCTCCTTGTTGTACAGCAACTCTTCTCGGGTCTCAGTGGCGTATTCCGCGTTGGAAGCTGCGCGTATACTGTCAGTTGTGGGGTCACACTAATCAACCTGCCGGATCAACTTACTCTCGACAATCGCATCAACGGGGCAACTCTCCTGGCAGTAACCACAGTAGATGCACTTTGTCATATCAATGTCATATCTGGTTGTCCGACGGCTTCCGTCCTCACGTTCCTCGGCCTCGATGGTGATGGCCTGAGCGGGGCAAATGGCCTCACAGAGCTTGCAAGCAATGCAACGCTCCTCACCAGTGGGATAGCGGCGCAGAGCATGTTCGCCACGAAAACGGGGGGAGATAGGGCCCTTCTCGAAGGGGTAGAAGATAGTGTAACTATAATTTAAAGATTGGTCTTAGCCTCCATGATCCTCTAAAATGTTCAAAACGAACAATGATGTACATCCAGAACCGTGAAAAACTGGTTCATAGACTGTACAAAGTTTAAGATGCGAAAATGGGCCAGGAAAACTTACGGTGGTCTGAAAAACTGCTCCAGCACCACGTACATGCCCCGGAACAATTCAGCCATAAGGAAGTACTTGCTGGCCTTGTCTAGCGAAGACTCGGGATCCTGATCCCATTTCCTCGGCGCAGGTAAACGGAATCCAGGCTGAGGAGGACCGACTGGTGTAGCAGCTCTAGACACCGAGGAGGAGAAGTTTGCGATTGAACCCAAGGGCGAAAGCCGGAGAGAAGAGGTCAACAGGTAGGGAGTAGGGCGACGGTAGGCGACCAGCCTCGCAACAGATGTCGAGGAGGCCATTGTGCCGGTTGTAGAGAAGCAGAGTAGAGAGGAGAAAAGACGAGGAGAAGACGAGGAGAGCGAAGGCCCGGTTGAGGGTGGAAAGGGTTCAATGCCAGCAAGATATGAGGTTCCKACTGTCTTTTGCTGGTTTGGAGCAAGTTAGCAACGGCAGTGCTTAGGTCATTCCTTTCTGCCGCCCGCTGATTGGCCGCCGGCAGGGTTTTGCTTCCCGAGCCGCAAGCGCAAAGCAAAAGATGGAAACCTCCATCTCTTGTGTCAATCAAGTTCCCTGGGTATCTATCAATTCTCCCTGACGCACTCGTCTCCTCCATTCCTTGTTCTATATTCTCTTCTTGGAATAATTTATCCCTTAGTCGGGTCTTACTTCGTCAGGCAATTTGCCCCTTTCACCCACTCTTAGACAAAGTCAACATGTTCCGTTCCGCTGTCGTCCGCTCGTTGAGAGCCTCCGTTCCCCGTGCTGTCAGGACTCCTACTGCCTTCCAGATCCGTAGCTCTCCTGTTGCTCGTCCTGCTCAATTCGCCCCTCGCTTTGCTTACCAGGGTGTCCGCCTCTACTCCGCCCCCGCCGGTCTGAACAAGGAGGAGGTCGAGGGCCGGATAGTCAACCTCTTGAAGAACTTTGACAAGGTTCGTTTGTTCGGCTTCCTTTCTCTCGCTTTCAGTGGTCCATCGAATGGGACAGCACATACATTACCAAAACTGGTGTTCGAGTACAGAATTACTGACGCGATTGATGGTGTATAGGTTTCCGATGCCAGCAAGGTTCGTGGTCACCGCTTATGCCCGCTGATGCTATGGCCGGCTACCCCTTCAATCTTCAAACTTTGAAAGGAGCAAAGATTGGTCATATGGACGACGTCTAACGTGAACAGATCAACGGCTCTTCCCACTTCTCGAACGACCTCGGTCTGGATAGCCTGGATACTGTTGAGGTTGTGATGGCTATTGAGGAGGTATGGTTTAGCGGGCGATTTTCCAGAAGAGCATTATATTAACGAGTCTGTCAACAGGAGTTCAGCATTGAGATCCCCGACAAGGAGGCCGACACTATCCACAGTGGTAAGTACACTCCGACAGTACCTAGCAKATCGCTTATTAAAGTTCATCTACTTATTTCTTTGAACAGTTGACAAGGCTGTTGAGTACATCCTTGCCCAGCCTGATGGTAAGTTTATCTCGTGCGAGAACAGGGTATCCAGGAGGATTGACACTAATGATGACTTAGCCCACTAAACGCTTAATACTACGATTCGGGAATAGGTTGGAGGGTCTGATAGAAAAAGAAAAGGGATGTGAGCGTGTATCTGCCACAGAATCCTAGAGTCGGAGGTCCGCTGGCCATCATGGATGCTGCTTTGTATGCTGATACATGCCGGTGCTTTTTCGCCCTACTATATCGTGTATATCACATTTGAATGCTATTTTTGACCAGTCTACTGCTGTCCGTAGATAAGAAACACGTCTGAGCATATGATTGTTTCCTTTACACATCGTTAAGGCTGGAGTACTCTGTTAACTACAAGATTTCTATCTGTCCGTCCCATTAATGGGATGACGTGTACCTGTAAGGAAGTTGTATGGTGTCTGTATGGAATAGTAGGTATGGTACTGCATTTCAAGGGATCAAATGTTGCTTAAGGCTCGGTCAAATTCTCCGGTCCAGGACTAATTGGGTTCGCGTGGCTAATTATAATAAGTCAATTGAAATCATGCCAGTTATTGTTGAGGTTCAAGATCATATGTATAATGGTGCGGCTCTGATCCGTTACCGGCGGAGCGCTAACAAACCATCAGAAGTTAGTAAGAAAGATTAAAGAAATGTTATTTGAGACGACCATGATCTTTTAAATTATCATTAGGCACGGGAACTTCAATTATCTGCTTCTTTGAGTATCTACACAGGAGAGTGATCTCTGTTACTGTGGTATACCTCCTAGCCATCCTCTGGCTCTTCCCTGTGATTTTCTGCTCCTCTTGTCTTCCGTGGTCACTTTTATCTGTCACTCTCCTTGTGCTCTGCGCTCCACCACCCCTGACAATTAATTTCCACCCAGGAAATCAGTGGGATAATCACCAAACTCCTCTTCTTGCTTTTTCTTTAGTATCTGTTCTGCTCCGGATCCAACCTAGAAGCATCACCATATACACCTCGCGGTCGAGTCTCCGTCATCAGCACCTGCTCAACCAGTTCCCCGCTTTCAGTCCACCGACCTACATACCGACATCCTCATGGCCTCAGCCGGGGGCTTGACTCGCCGGAGAGGTGGCGGTCGAGTCGCTGGCGGAGATGACAACGATGATAGCAGAGTGTCTTCCCCGGTATCTAGAAATGGCTCCGCACTTGACCACCGCGGCCCCGAGGCCTCATTCACAAGCTCTGAGAATGGCCACAAGATCGCGTTCGATCCCCGGGATCTGAGCGAGACTGAAGAGCGAAGCAAGCAGCCCAAACTGACTCTGATGGAGGAAGTGCTGCTGCTGGGGTTGAAGGATAAACAGGTCAGTGCTGGTTTAAAATCATTACCACGGGCTCGATGAGCCGCTTGTGCGCATTGACGAGGCAATGCTGACATGGAGCTTGCGATTCTCCGCTCTGATAGGGATACCTTTCATTCTGGAACGAAAACATTTCCTATGCTCTTCGGGGTTGCATTGTCATCGAGTTGGCTCTTCGCGGTCGCATCAGCATGCAAAAGGACTCCTCCCGGCGACGGTTCCCTCTTGCAGATCGCGTAATCGAAGTCATCGATGATACATTGACGGGTGAGGTCTTGCTGGACGAGGCATTGAAAATGATGAAGTCGAGTGAGAAGATGAGCGTGAATTCATGGATTGACCTGATGAGCGGTGCGTGCAAAGACTCCGGCCACTGAACTTCCGACAGGTATACGAAAGAGAAGACGGGCAGCTAATGCGTCCATCTAGGTGAAACATGGAACTTGATGAAGATTGGGTATCAACTCAAACAGGTTCGTGAGCGGCTTGCCAAGGGTCTCGTCGACAAAGGCATTCTCCGTACCGAAAAACGTAACTTCCTCCTCTTTGACATGGCCACACACCCAGTCGCCGACGGAGGCGCCAAAGATGATCTTCATCGCCGTGTCCGCAACGTTTGTAGCAGTCGCACCGTGATTCTGTCGGCCAACCAATGGCTCCCTGAAGATGCTGAGTTCCGGTATCTTCGAACCGTTGTCATGGTATGCGCGGCCTATGCGGCCAACGTGTTGGAGAATGCACTTGTTACAATGAGCCACGAGGCGAGAGAGCGGGCTTTTGCGCAGGTTGATGAGTTGCTGGCAGAGTATTCCCAGTGGCCGTTCGCTCGGAGACCGGGTGGTGGACAGGCCATTGGTGCCAACCTGGCACAGGCCATCAACGACGAAGTCAATAAAGCTAAGGATCGAGAACTTCAGTTGGAGGTATGTTTCGTCGCTCTCTATTTACGGTGTTACAGAAGCTGATGTGCAAACATCTACAGATTGTCGCAGCATGTTTGAGCGTTTTTACCAGACTCGATTCCTTACTGTAGCACTGACTGTCCTGCTATTTTTGTTATGCCGGTATGCAGGTTGTCAACCGCTATCAATCTAATTTTTCAGTTTTTGCTTCTGTCTTTCCCATTCACATCTTCTACCGGTTTCTCACAGGACATAGCACACAGAGAGACTTGTGGATCGATCTCATGTATTTTTCTTCTTTTTTAAAGCACGCGGGTTGAGACCGGTCGAAGGCGGTCTTCATTTTTGCTTCCTTGAATGATTATCCGTCTGGGTTGTTCGAATTCCAAAACTTTTCATCTCTCCGGGGCTTCTTGTACCTGCTTTCTTCTTTTTCTGTTCGCGTTCGGGAGAGAGGCGGGCAAGGGCTGTCTTGCGGCGGCAGGACAGAGCATCACATTATACAATAACTGAATCCTATGGACCATGCGCAGCCTATTGATAGCACTGGGCCTGTCTGGCGGTTCGATCGCTGAAGGATCAACGCGCTCCAGCGCTCAGGACTCAACAAATGGAAACAGCTGGGAGTGCGCATGTCCATTCTCTCTCGGCTTTTGCATGCTTCGTCGCCTTGTGAACCTTTCTCTCAGGCAAGTCGATGATGACCTACTCTACCTACTTTTACTTCAGAATGTGTGTTTATCTTGAAACTACCATTTTCGATTCCAAGTCTTCCGATTATTGTCGAGTACCAAGTACCCTTCTTGTTCAGCTAGGTGTCATAGATGGACGCAAGTTCCATTATAGTACCTGAAATATAAGGCTCAAAACTAAAAAGACGTGCTCGTACGCTCCAATGCAAATTGTGTCCTTCCCCCGTATACTGACGCCAGTCAAATGACAGCATACTGATTGCTATGGGAGAAACAAAAATTAAAAAAAACGCCCCTGGCCCGAGTATGCAATGACTATACACCATCTATGGGTTAACCCGTATCACCATCATACCTCCTCGCCTCCCTCCCCCGGCGCCAGCAGCGCCCGCAGCTAGTATATCTGCGCCGTTGACCAGATCCGTGATGCTCTCCACCCGTCCGCGGACGCTATTTTCCTCGACCAACCTCGCGATGTGCGCGAGCGCCTTCCCATCCGGCTCTACAGCGATGAATCTGCTCAAGGGGCCTTTCTTCTTCGAGCCGTTACCGGTCTGCGTATCTTCCTCTGTCCGCCCGTTCTGAGCCGGCGCGGAGTCGACGGCGGTCAAGACGGCGCCGTCTTCCTTGACAACCGCTGGCGAGTGGGCTTGCTGGAACATCTCTTCGCCCGCGCAGTCGATGACGATATCCACGGGCTCCCACTGCTTCTGCTTGAAAATTGTGGCCAGGTCCCACTCGGCTGGCAACGGGAGGGCGGCGACGATGTACTGGTCCACCTGGTATTGGTCGCGGAGGGTTGCCCCCTGTTCTTCGCTGTCGCAGGTTGCGCAGATCCACGGGCGATAGTGCGGGAACAAGGACGGGGCCCGCAGCAACTGGAGCGCCTGGATACCGACCTCGCTGTTGCGGGCGTTTGTGACGAGCACCCGCAGGCCACCGCGGACGTGGTTCGTGTCGGCGGGATTCAGTTTGCCGTAGGTGAAGAGGGCTTGCCATGCGGCGAGAGCGGGTAAGGGGATCGTCGCTGCCTCTGCGGCGGTGATGTTCTTGGGCTTGAATGCGAGCTCGTCTTCCGTTGCGAGGACGTAATCGGCTGCGGCGCCGTCCCGGCTGTGACTGGTCAGACCGAAGACGGCGTCCTCGACTTTGAACTTGGGGCCGGATGGGTGCCAGTGATCTTCATCGGGGGTGCTGATGACTGTGCCGCAAAAGTTGTGGAGGGGAATCTTAGGGATAGATATTCTCGGGTTGAGCACCTTCGCGAGTCGCAGCTCGTCATGCGAGAAGGCGGCCGTTTGGACTTTGATGAGGTATTGGTTCGGTGACGGCATGGGTGTGGGAAAGTCGGTATCGAAGATCAGGCCTGGCTCGGGGCAATCCACAGTTGTCACGTAGTGGCTGTGGTTGTCGCCCAGGCTGTAGTAAAGGGCCCTCATCGTACTCGGGACGAATGTTTGTTCATCCATATCAACTTGCGCTGGCTTTGCTGGCTTCATGGTGAAAAGAATTCAGTACTTAGGTAAGGCTTCCGTTGAGTTCAAAATAACCATTTATTTATTGTATCTCTTGACAGTACAAAAAGAGCTTCCTCTAGGTCAATGAGCGTGCGAGGAAGTTGTAGGTGTTAAAGAGTTCCACAGGGACATGCAACACAGGCAGCTCTGGTAAATTCTAAATTCTCTTCGGGAAACAAACGCCCTGTGAAGCGCGATGGATTACAGCAGAAAATTCGACTTTTTGACAACCAGAAACAATAATCTGCTGGCAGCGCTGCGGAGCGAGACTGCATCGGACTGTATGCCTAGACTTCGATGATGCGGATGCCCTCACGTTGACGTAACTGTGCTTATATCAGCGACTCTACCAGCAGCTATCAGATAACTTTTTGCCTTACCTCTCTACTAGAATGACAGGAAGAGCCTGAGCATTATCCATGGGTTCTGCACACAATATTGTGGATCGGTTATGGTGCACCAATCGCGCAGTTGTTCCTTCTCTACCGAGAGCAACCTATGGTATCGACCGAGAAAGTCGGTCCACAACCTGATACACTTCTTCGGGCTCTTCAAATACTGTCCATACACTTTCCGGAACCCCTTTGAAAGCAGTCCTGAATCGTGCTGGAGAATTCTTCCCTTCC